CTCCAGGATCTTCTTTTCTCAAAACCACTAGAGCTAGTGTCCAAGTTTGCCTTTTGAAGCCAGTGGGGACATCCAAATGAAAATGGAATTTAGCTGCGTTCTGTCTCATGCAAGAGATGTATGCCTGAGTGGCTACCATGGGATCTCCAATTCTAGACTGTCAGTTATTTTAGCTCCTTTAAGTTGTATAATTCAGAATCATGTCTTAAGATAGTTTTGATAGGGGCTGGAGAGAATGCTCAGCAGTTAAGGAGCACTGACTGCTCTTGCAGAGGACCCAGGTTCAATTCCCAGCACTCACAAGGAGGCTAACAATCTGCTATAACTACAGTTCCAGGGGATCTGATGCCGTCTTCTGACCTCGATGGGCATTGAATGACACTGGTGCACTTATATACATGTAGTCAATACATTCATACACATAAAAAATAAATAAAAACAATAAATAAATATTCTTTAAAGCTTTGCTACTTTAAAATCTATTTTAAGATCACATTGCCTGGCCAGGAGTGGTCGTGCATGCCTTTAATCCCAGCACTCAGGAGGCAGAGGCAGTTCTATCTCTGTGAGACTGAGGCCAGCCTGGTCTATGTAGCAAGTTCCAGGCCAACTTGGGCTACAGAGAGACCCTGTCTCAAAAAAGACTAAAAACACAAAAAACAAAACAAAACAAACAAAAAGATCATATTGCCCTGTCATTTCCTCCAACCAAGAACCAGTGTTACTGTTTTTTTAAAATGCCCAATGCATGCTACATTAGCTAAGCAGCACAACTGCAATTCCATTGCCTGGGAAAAGATTTTATTTGTTAATATTTTATTTATTGTTTTTATTTTATATGTATGAGTGTATTGACCTGCATGCATGTAAGTGTACTTGTGCTGTGCAATGTTCACGGAGGTCAGAAGAAGGCATCAGATCTCCTGGAACTGGAGTTACAGATGGTTGTTAGCGACCATGTGGGTGCTGGGAATTGAACCTGGGTCCTCTGAAAGAGCAGTCAGTGCTCCTAACCACTGAGCAATCTCTCTAGCCATGAAAAAAAAGTTTATTAGAACCAGTACCAGAGCATAAATTTGCATTGTACGCAGTGTGGCCTTCTTTGGAGGAGCAATCCTGTATTTGGAGGAACTCTTTGTCTTCATGATGATCTACCAAGTTTTTTCTCAAAGACAGTGATACCTGACTGATAGTTTTCCAAAGCAAGTCCTTCCCTGTGAATGACATCAGTATCCAAAAGGGCGATCTGCCATTCCCTAACCTCCTACGCTTTGTGCTTCAATGACTTTGATGAGCTTATCCTCTTCCAACCTCAGCCACCAGTTCCTAGTCGTATTCCTCACCTGTTACCTTGAAACCATCATTTCAAACATCTTCTCTTGCAACATTCTTTTTAAAACCTGAATCTTTATTGATAAGCAATTCACATACATACAATTCAATAGTTTTTTGTGTGACGCATTCATTCATAGAATTGTGAAGGCATCACTACATTCAATTTGGAAACATTTTGACAATTTTACACATGTATACAGTGTCTCGTGATCATGTTCATCTCTCAGTACCTTCATTTCTCCTCTCACTCCTGATAACCCCTTCTTCTTCTCCCTCCTACTTTCATGTCTTAACATTTTGTGCAGGTCTTATGCAGGTAGCCATAGCTGATGTGTATTCATGATTGCAACAGTCATGTCCTACCCAGAAAACAGCATTCCAAAGCACTTTTCTTTATCCCCTGGGTCTTAACAACCTTTCCACCCCCTCTTCTGTAGTATGCCCTAGCTTTGATGGAGGTGATGAAGAGGTCTCCTTTAGGACTGAGCATTCAACAGGCACTTTTTCTTAGCACTTTGAACACTTAAGAATCTCTTCATTGATCATCTCCCACTGCAAAAAGAAGCTTCTCTAAGGCCGAGAGCAGCATTAGTCTATGGATATGAACATAAATATTTAGGAGACAGTTGGCCACATGTCCATTTAGCAAAACATCAGTAGTAGGCTTCCCCCTAGAGCCTGTAACCTCACTGGCCTCAATCTCACAAACATCCATCTGCCTCTGCCTCTTGAGAGCTGGGACTAAAGACGTGCACCACCACACCCAGCCTCTTTTTTATTTTCAAGCCATAGGCTTTCAATCAGATTTATAGCACCAGACATGAATGTATTCCCATGGAGCATGGCTCAAATCCAATCAGAAAGTTGTTGGTTGCCTACAGAACATTTGTGCCACTATTACACCAGTGGGCACAACTTACCTGGCAAGTCAATATTATAACATGCAGTGCCCACATCTGGGTAATATCACTGATGACTTTTCTTCCTCAATAGCCTGTATAGCACTTTCCTGCACTATGAAAGCTAGTCAGCAGGAAGGAAGCTTCCAGCACAGTTCCAGCTTGACTTCTCTGTCTTGCAACCAAAGTATATGGTGTCTTCAACAATAGAGTCTTAGCATCTAGTTCTGTTGTGAATCCAAGAGAAATGACAATGGCTCATATTGTTTGAAGAACCTCTGAGACCTCCCTGGCCAATAACTCATAGGGAAGTATTTTCAACATGTCACTAAAATTTTTGTTTAAAAACCTATGTCTTCTGGAGGCAACATTGTCCACGCTGCATTTAAACTCTTTTAAAAAAATTATAAACCTTTTCATTCCTTGTCGCCACTCTCATAAGACTTGATTTTCTCTACTCCCTTCCCCCACTGCATGTCCTATACCCCCATGGCTCTTTTCTTCCTTTCTGGCTTTCTACTGACTTAGACACAGAAATATAAAATTTGAAACAAAGATTCATATATGAGAGAGAGCTTAGAGTGCTTGTTCTAATCGATGCTCTGGTTTCATTTCTGTTCTATAATAAAATACTCTGACAAAAAGCAACTTAGAGGAGAAAGAAATTTATTTTAGCTTATCATTCTAGGTTACAGTCTTCACTGTGGGGAAGTCTGGGTAAGAACTTCAAATAGCTAGTTATATCACACCACAGTCAAGACCCTAGAACATCATGAACCATGATTTCAGTCACATGTAAAACTTGGATAAGAGTGTACACAAATATGAAATTCTCAAGAAAAGTGAAAAATAATCATTTAAAAACAGAATGTTGCTTTTTCTCTTGAAGGCATTTAAAGGGAGCTAGAGAGATGACTCCGTGGTTAAGAACTCTGGCTGCTCTTGCAGAGGACCTAGGTTCAGTTCCCAGCACTACATGGTGGCTAATGACTGTCCTTAATTCCAGTTCTAAGGGATCCATCACCCTCTTCTGGCCTCCGTGGACATTGCATGGCACCAGTGCACTTAAATGCATGCAGGCAAAACATTCATACACATAAAATGAAAATAAATAAATAAATAAAATGTTTTCAACGAGTATTTAAAGGTAGCAAACTTATAAAACCTTCAAAATAGTATAAAATCTTTCCTCTATATTGAGCCAATGATATACTTTTTTGCTGTTGTTATAAAATTTCCTTTTATAGTTCAAGGCAATCCAATTCAGGGCTTCTTAAACTTTTTCCACTTGCAACCTAATTAAGCCTGAGAATGACCCTGGCTATATAGGTATAAAAAATATGTATGCAACATATACGTAACTAAAAGTTACTTGACAAACAACAAAGCCAGACAGGTGATACCTTCAGTCGAGTTGTTGGCTAGGATAGATAAAGGCTCTTCCAGACAGTAACCCAACATACTACTGGAAAAATGAACAGCAGACCCCAATTCTATCCAAAGGAATACTGACAATGGATTGCCGTAGATGAGGAACAGCTGACCCTCCTGGAACAGGGACCTCTGGCTGACTAGATTTACCAGAAGGGCAGACAGGGGGAATGGATGAGGGTGCTGACAACACAGTGGACAGTGACAGGGATGGCAGAGTATGGAGCCTCTAGTGGGAGAGGAAGGCTGTCTATCTGACGAGTTTGTATTCATGCTCAGATGCCGAGGAGCTCAGAAGGTGGGAGAATGTGACCAGTGATAGTCATGCATATAGAGATTAGAAATGCATGTGAAAACATCTCAATGTCAATTGCCTTGGAATGAATTCTTCTGTATGAAAAAAAAAAAA